AGTGGTAGTGGTAGTGGTAGTGGTAGTGGTAGTGGTAGTGGTAGTGGTAGTGGTAGTAGTAGTAGTAGTAGTAGTAGTAGTAGTAGTAGTAGTAGTAGTAGTGGTAGTGGTAGTGGTAGTGGTAGTGGTTGTTGTTGTTGTTGTCGTCGTCGTAGTCGTCGTAGTCGTACTCGTAGCAGTATACTAGCCGTAGTAGCAGTAGTAGTAGTCGTCATCGTCGTAGTATAGTAGTCGTAGTAGTAGTAGCAGTAGTAGTAGTAGTAGTAGTAGTAGTAGTAGTACGACTACTACGACTACGACTACTACTACTACTACTACTACTACTACTCGTACTGGTACTGGTACTGGTACTGGTACTGGTTGTTGTTGCTGCTGTTGTACACATAGTAAGAATAGTCATGGTCGTCGTCTTCGTCGTAGTAGCAGTATTGGTTCCTTACCGTCGCAAAAACAACCCTCTTCATGACGTTTAACCATTCAAAAAACCCTCCGCATCGATGCAAAAAGTCTCGCCTCACATAACTGACATGACCGTTGTTAGAAAAAATTCAGCCGAACGGATGCAAAAAGCCTCGCCTTACATAACCGTCGCAAACCGCGGTCGTTGTTACAAATAAAAGCCCAAATCCGTTAGCCAACCAAACGCGGGAACCGAAAATCGGTCGTGGGCACTGTCAATCGCTCCCGGGCTATGTCTTTCTCTGCCACCGGGCGCGGGAACCGAAAACACCCATGCGGGAACCCCAAAACCCTCCGGGAACCAAAAAAACCGAAGAGGGCACCGCAAAGCTTTTAGTGGGAACTGCAAAGCCGCGCCGCTGGGAACCACAAACACCCTTGGAACCGAAAACACTTTGCCGGCGGGAACCGAAAACACCGCCGGGAACCCAAAACACCGGTGGGAACCGAAAACCGGATTCCAGGAAAAAAAGACGCTAGGGAACCGAAAGTCGGATTCCAGGAACCGAAAATACGGAGCCCCAGACTGTGCATGACTGGTCCACCATTCAGAATGGTCAACAGCCAAGGGGTCTCCTTGATGTACAAGCCTGCAGCTAGGGTGGACAGCCACGTTCCAGCTCCATTTGCGCGTTTCGCCATTTGGGAGAGGCGAATCTGAGGAAGGTCTCAATTTCCAAAAACATCTGCCAAGTGCGTGCTGTTTTGTTGTGAAACTATTTTGGGTTGCTTCCAACCAACTAGGCCAACAGTGGCTGCAATATGTTTCAGATAAGCTTCGTTCAATCGTCAATTGGAACTCAATATCCCAGCATGCGCATCAAAGCAGCTATATAATATATACTTCGCCATAAACCAAGCAGGCTACTGACTGAAGTAGGCTCAGTATGGCTAGACCAGAGATGTGTATTTTGCAAAAAGACGCCGCCCAGAGAAGCTCATCGTCCA